CGTCTGTGAGTTTCGCTGGTGTCGCGAGCACTGATTTCTCTCCCGTTTCCTTTCCAAATTTTCCCTCATTCCACAATCCCTGTCTGTATGCCTGTGTGAGAAGGCATGAGTCCTGTCCTGCCTTCTCTGCAGTTTTTGCATCGTGTTCGCCTTCGTTACATTTTATCCAGTCAATTAGTTTCCCCCGAGGTGTGTTCGTGTTATCGATACAGCTCCCTTCCCATATGTCTCTCTGACTGTACTGCTTTGTAACAGATTGGTCGGTACGTTTAAATACGAGCTCCCCGTATCCCGTAACCCATTCAAAAATTATTCTTAATCCCAGCATCTCAAGGTGTGGCGGGAGTTACTTTGACATTCCCTTTCAGAGTGCATATAAAACAATTATCTCACAGAGTGTAGTCAATTTGACTCGAGCTATCTGTTATTTTCCGATTCAGAGTGCGTACCTCTAACACCATTTATCACAGGATGCAATTGGTTTGATACGGTATTATCTTAATTCCACTGTCTCTGTTTTAACCTGCTATTCTGGGTTTTAACCTTAGAGGGCGTTTTTTAGTTTTCCGCCCGTTCACAATTACCATGCAATGTTCGATCCTGATATTCTGGTTAACACGAAGTGATTCATTCCATCATCCATGCAAAACACTGTCTGCGAGAGATCCCGGACGACGCCACCCATTATGTTGTATGTGTTGGGATATGAAATTTTGATGAAAATAATAAAAATTAATAATTTTCCGAAAAATGCGCAAATCGCATTAATTATGTTAATGTGTGTATTAATATGCGTAAATTATGATAGTGCGTGTGATTATATGCATAAATTATGATAATCGTAGCACTTTATGCGGAAGCTTGCGATTATGTTAATGTGTGTAGTTATGTTAATTAGGCTTGGTTTCGTTTATCCAGGGTTATATCAATCAGGATAACACGATTATCATCGATTCATTTACCGATTATCCTAGTGTGTGTTATAATATTTTAGGTCACCAGTTCATATCTCATCACAGGATACAGCTCTTATGAATAAGATGGTTTTGCATGGACTTGGAAAGAACACTCAATATGCTTCTGTGTTAACAATTTTATTCTAACAAACACGTGACATTCTATCATGCAGGTCAAACATGCGTCAATAATTCATGGGCAAGATTATGCAATTAACTAATATGAACGACAAAACTTATGCAGTTGCGAAATTATGCAATTATGCAATATGAATAACGAAACTCTTATGCATTTGACTAAAATGAATGAATAAACACTTATGCATTTGTGAAATTATGCAATTATGCAATATGAATAACGAAACTCTTATGCATTTGACTAAAATGAATGAATAAACACTTATGCATTTAAATTTTGATTTAAAGCTTTCGTGACTGCAGGGATTCATCTTCTTGTTTCTTTCGGTAAAGTCACGTAGAAGGGAAGTAATAAAATAATAAAAATAAAACATAATAAAACAATTCTCACGACGTTTCGGCTACAACGCAAGCAGCCGTCTTCAGGTGAAGAATGAGACACTACCAAACTAGGAGCTTATATATAAGCTGCATTGGGGGTTGAAGAGCGCCTTAACAAAACCGGACCGCATCCGTGAACATAAAGCTGACCTGAAACACGGTAGGACTAACACCTCAGCCGTGGCAGATCACTGTTACAACTCAGTGGGCTCACATGATATTGACTTCTCCAAGACAGAGGTTCTCTGCAAGCCATCTGGCTATCATGAGAGATTCGTTCATGAGGCGATCCACATATACAAACACAGAGACAACTTTAACCGAGAAGATGGATTCTGGCTCAGCAATCATTGGAAGGACGTAATAAACCATTTCGATACACATTAGGGTGTGTAGAATAATACATAGTGTGATATTAAATGTATAAGATATAGGTTGGTTTACAGCAATACAGTATATAATTTAATGTTGGGTTTATCTATGGCAGTATATAGTACGGTATATGCTCGTGTGATGTAAGAGAATAAGGTTTAGATGGAAGCATATTATAGAATTTTTACGAGGTAAAATTGTAATGTATTACTTGCTGTTAGTAACTCAGCTTATTATAGAGTATAGTAAGTATACTGATGGTGCGATGCAGTTTATACTTTAGTTTTTTATGTAGTTTATACTTTAGTTTTCTACGTGGTTGTTGAGTAACTGCAGCTACATATCATTAACATTCCTTTCCTTTGTTACTGCTAATCCCTGCACCCCCCTTGGTTGCTGCTGATCCTGCATAATGCATGGGCATAATATGACTTTGACACCCCCCCGCCCAACGCCTACGCATTTTCCATGAATATGCTAAATCCCTCTTCACATGCACATTCTTTTTGTTAAGGCGCTCTTCAACCCCCAATGCAGCTTATATATAAGCTCCTAGTTTGGTAGTGTCTCATTCTTCACCTGAAGACGGCTGCTTGCGTTGTAGCCGAAACGTCGTGAGAATTGTTTTATTATGTTTTATTTTTATTATTTTATTACTTCCCTTCTACGTGACTTTACCGAAAGAAACAAGAAGACTTATGCATTTGTGAAATTATGCAATTATGCAATATGAATAACGAAACTCTTATGCATTTGACTAAAATGAATGAATAAACACTTATGCATTTAACGAACTGAATGACTAAAAACACTTCTATCAATTGTAACCTCTACTTTTCCTACCAGGCATCTCATTAGTTCGCCCATGTATCGATCACAATCGGCGACTGGTCGAGTTTGAAAACAAGCATGACACACTTCCTATGGCGGTAATATAGCACTTATTATACCCAAGAGGCGAAAGTATATGTCAATAGATTCATCGGCAAGTATAAAAATCCTCTTAACGGAATGTTTGATACAATGGTGGGTGAGGGCGTGTGGGCGCGAGAGCGAATCTGGCTCTGTTTTAATTAATTCTTCGGCGAGATTCTGGGACAAAGGAAACTGGTTTGACAAGATTTTCTCTGTGTTTTCTTGAGTCTGTATGTGGGGAGCGATACGACCTCTGCTGTCTGTGCGAGCGGCAGCTGAGACTTTCTCCGCTGTGAGGTGAGCGGCGGCGCTCGTTCAGAAGACTTTGACTCTTTTTCTCCACGGCGGGATGACGAGTCGGTTTGGGTTGATGCTGGTCGATCTGGGTGTCGCTCGTTGTCGCTTGGTGGCGCACGGTGGCGCACGGTGGCGCAAGTTGGCGCTCGTTCAGCGATCTCCGCCTTTCCTGCGGGTTGTTCGCTGGTCGTCACTCTGACGAGGAGCGATGCTTCGTTCGTGGCAGGGTGGACGTTGGCGTCTTTGTTGGCTTCACTCGCAGCTCTGCGACTCAGGGTAGCGATTCTTCTCAGGTGGTGCAGACCTCGGCTTGTAGCTACGCGTCGCTTCTCCGCGACCCTCGTCATTCTGAATGACAGGAGCTTCTTCGTTGGCGGCGACGAGGAGAGATGGTTGTCGCCCTGGAGAACTCTGGTGGGGCCTTAGCCCGGATGATCTGCGTTGGAGCTCGTGGCCCGGATGATATGCTTTGTATGGATTTTCCTTCGGTTTATATCGGAAAATTCCACTCGGCTTCCCGAGTTGTTCAAAAGCTGTGTCATAAAACCCTCCTGTGGGCTGAACCATCTGCGTCCGTGTGTGTGTCCGTCCGTGTGTTTCGCGTGCGTGTTTGTCCGTGTGTTTATTAGCTTTGAAGACACAGATGTGCGTCGTTCTGGAAGAAAGGGGTGGGGGTGGGGGCCTCGTGACGGCGCCGCCGAAGTTATCCATTAGCCAGACCGATGATTCGCGTCGAGTTATAAAAAAAAACATTCGAATCCATGTTTTGTTACTGAATAATATTTGTCGCGAAAACCCACGCGTTAAGCGAGCTTAATTATTCCCTCCCTTGCTCTGGGATCACATCCTTTGTCTCACACAGCTTAAGTTGGTTTGGTTTGGAAGTTGAAATGCAACTTATTTGCTGCTTGGTTCCATCTGCATAGTTATGCCGAAACAGTGTTCACGATGTTTCATCGTGACCCGATCTCTCATGGAAATGTTATTTCCTCGCGTGTGCAATTTTTGCTGTCCGTGTTGTGGGGAGACAAAGGCGGTTGTTTCCATGGTGGGAGCATCCGGCGCATGCGCTTATTTATTCGAAGGCGTGTGTTAATTTCCTATGAGCCCTTGCCCCAACCTTTATGGGTGTCATTTCCTGGCTTGGTGCCTGTGTGTGGAGATCCTCTCGGAAAGACAAAGGCGGCCGTGTTGCTCGCTTCCCATGGGTGTTGTGTTTGGTTAATTTTGAGAGCCTTCTCCGCCCTTGATTCCTCTTCTACTTTAATTCCGTACTTATTATTTGACTTCTTGTGATTATTTGATCTGATATCCCGGCTAGGAATTTGTTTTGGAGCGAAATAGATGCCATAATTATTCTTTGATGCTTCGGCCCGGCCGTGTAGATATTCTTTAAAGGTAAATAATGTCAGTACTTAATTAACAATGATGGGTCGCGATTCTGGTGCAATTTTTGTCTGGTTTTCAATTGGAGTGAGGATGGATACTGTTTGCTTAATCTTTATGGTTAAGTTGGTAACTTGTGTATTTAACATGGTTCAAAGACCCATCTGTGCTTTTTGTCGTCAATGCTGTTTCTTTGTTAAGAATATAATTATCTCTTCCTCCGTGTCTGGTTTTGGTTTTTTTAACTAAACGATGTCCTGCTGACCCCCCCCCCCCCCCCGCCTGCAATTCCCCCCCCCCTCCCTTGTTCCTCTTGTGTGAATTTAGGGGAGTTTTTATTACCTTAGTGCCCCCCCTTTCATGTCCTCTTTCCTTTGAAATGAGGTGTGCGCACATCTGTGGTAGTGTGGGGGCCTCTGTGGAAGTGTGGGGGCGTGTTCGTTCCCACGTGGCCGCGTCTATTAAAAAAAACGATATTATCTATGTTGGCAGAATAATTCTTAAAAAAAAAAATAATATTAAAAAAAATAAAAAGGGGGTACATACACAACAGAGGGACTCGCTCACCTTCCTGCAGGTGGGGAGAGACTCTGTAGAGACGTCAACAGTGTCCAGAACAACAGGGAGGGCATTGGCAGAAGGGCTCATGGTCCAAGGGTAGAGACTTCACTCATGATCTCTCTCTCTTCCATAGGGGCACCTGGAGGAGACGTGCAGGTACAGATCCTTAACGTCTCATGGTTAAACACTCACAACACAAAATGTCTTCTTGGTTCTTTCGGTAAAGTCACGTAGAAGGGAAGTAATACAATAATAAAAATAAAACATAATAAAATAATTCTGACGACGTATCGGCCACAACGCAAGCAGCCGTCCTCAGGTGAAGAATGAAACACCACCAAGCTTGGAGCGTATATTTAAGCTGGGTTGGAGGGGGGGAGGTGAGAAGAAGAGCGCCTAGACAAAATAATTTGCATATCAAGAGGAATTTAGCATATGGAAAATGCGTAGGAGGTGGGCGGGGGGGGTTCAAATTAATATTATGCCCGTGCATTATGCAGGATTAGCAGCATCAAAGGGAGGGGGAAGGGGGGTAGCATTAACAAAGGAAAGGAATGTTAAAAGTATGTAGCTGCAGTTGCTAAACAACCACGTAAAAAACTAAAGTATAAACTACATAAACAACTAAAGTATAAACTACATAGCATCATCAGTATACTTACTATACTCTACAATAAGCTGAGTTACTGACAGTAAGTAATACATTACAATTCTACGTCGTAAAAATTATATAATATGCTTCCATCTAAACTTTGTTCTCTTACATCACACGAGTCTACACCGTACTATATACTGCCATAGACAAACCCAACATTAAATTACAAACTGTATTGCTATAAACTACCCTATACCTTATACATTTTAATATAACACTATGTATTATTCTACCCACCCTAATGTGTATCACACTGCTATATGCTTACTATACAATTACGATACTATATATTACTTTGTACATTGTATTAAGCATATAAATGTTATACTATTTGTTATTATACACTGTACCATTGACCGTCGTGTCAATGGGTGAGTCGTGGGGGGGAAACTTGCAGCGGAGCAAAGAATCCATTCCCTGCGGAGAATACAAGGCAGTGAGTGGAACGCGGTCTGAAAGTCACCGTAAACGTGAACACAATCAGTTAAGATCCGAAATGGTTTATTACGTCCTTCCAATGATTGCTAAGCCAGAATCCATCTTCTCGGTTGAAATTGTCTCTGTGTTTGTATATGTGGATCGCCTCATGAACGAATCTCTCATGATAGCCAGATGGCTTGCAGAGGACCTCTGTCTTGGAGAAGTCAATGTCATGTGAGCCCACTGAGTTGTAACAGTGGTCTGCCACGGCTGAGGTGTTTGTCCTACCGTGTTTCAGGTCTGCTTTATGTTCACGGATGCGGTCCGAGACATGTTGTTTGGTTTCTCCAATGTAACTGCTACCACAGAGGCAACTTAGTTTGTAGACGCCAGGGTACTGTATGTCTGGAACCACATCTTTTACAGACGGGACCAGATCACGGATTTTATGTACTGTGTTGAATCGGACCTGGATCTTGTGTTTAATCAGGATTTTGGAGATCTTTTTTGTGACCCCAGCAATGTAGGGTAAGGTGATGGTCTTGAAAGGCTCCTCAACAGGATCCTTCTTGATGGTTGGAGTGATGGCTTTGCGGATTGTGTAGTCGGAGTAACCATTAGCCTTAAGAGCTTGGCGTACGTGTTTGAGTTCACTGGCAATGTGTTCCTGGTCGGAGATGCATTGGGCTCTATGGTATAGAGTCTTGATGAGGGAATTCTTCTGGGATGGATGGTGGTGGGAATCCGGTTTTAGGTAAGCATCCGTATGGGTGGCTTTCCTGTAGACAGAGTGGCTCATTGAACAATCAGGTCTCCTTTTAATTAGGACATCCAAAAATGGTAGCTTGCCATCTTTTTCGACTTCCATGGTGAATCTGATGGCTGGGTGTATGGAATTGATGTGGTCGAGAAATTGGTCTAGAGCAGGTCGGCCATGTGGCCAGATGACAAAAGTGTCGTCTACGTACCTCTTCCATAAGGTCGGGCGTAGAGTGGCAGTCTGGATGGCGTCAGTCTCAAATTTCTCCATGAAGATGTTGGCTACAACCGGAGATAGGGGGGAGCCCATTGGGGTGCCCTCAGTTTGCTTGTAGAAAGTTCCATTCCAGGTGAAGTATGTATTGGTTAAGCAGTGTTTCACCAGGGGGGGTACCCCAGCATTCAGTCCTTGATGAACCAAGTCTTCAATGATTGCGATGGTGTCAGGTACAGGAACTTTGGTGAATAAGGAAACCACATCAAAACTGACAAGCAGGTCATCTGGGGACAGGGCAATCCCATTGATTGTCGATACCAGGTCAGTAGAGTTTAGTACCACAGAGGTGGTTTTTCCAGTGAAAGGCCGTAGGATTTCAGACAAAAAAGAGCCAATTTATAGGTGGGGGAGTTGATAGTAGAGACAATGGGACGAAGAGGTGTATCTTCTTTATGTATCTTTGGCAAGCCGTATAATCTTGGTGGCCTGGCTGCAGAAGGTTTCAACGAGAACTGTTTGGTCTGATCAATTAATGCGGTTGAATCAGAAATGATTTGCTTGGTTTTAGAGACGAGGCTGTTGGTGGGGTCTCTTTTTATTTTTGTATAGCTGCCATCGTTGAGTAGTTCTCGGATTTTGTTGTTGTATTCTGTTTTGTCCATGATGACAGTGGCATTGCCTATGTCGGCTGAGAGGATGACAATGTCATCCCTCTTTTTTAATTGAGCTAATTCAAAACGCTCATCTTTGCTGATGTTGCTAGCTGGCATCTTAGCGTTTTTGAGGATTGCAGAGATTTCAGATCTTGCTACGTCTGCAGCGATGTGACTCAGGCCCTCAAGGGCCTGAGTCACATCGGCCCTCAAGGGCCTGAGTCACATTGCTGCAGACGTAGCAAGATCTGAAATCTCTGCAACCCTCAAAAACGCTAAGATGCCAGCTAGCAACATCAGCAAAGATGAGCGTTTTGAATTAGCTCAATTAAAAAAGAGGGATGACATTGTCATCCTCTCAGCCGACAAAGGCAATGCCACTGTCATCATGGACAAAACAGAATACAACAACAAAATTCCAAGAACTACTCAACGATGGCAGCGATACAAAAATAAAAAGAGACCCCACCAACAGCCTCGTCTCTAAAACCAAGCAAATCATTTCTGATTCAACCGCATTAATTGATCAGACCAAACAGTTCTCGTTGAAACCTTCTGCAGCCAGGCCACCAAGATTATACGGCTTGCCAAAGATACATAAAGAAGATACACCTCTTCGTCCCATTGTCTCTACTATCAACTCCCCCACCTATAAATTGGCTCGTTTTATGTCTGAAATCCTACGGCCTTTCACTGGAAAAACCACCTCTGCGGTACTAAACTCTACTGACCTGGTATCGATAATCAAGGGGATTGCCCTGTCCCCAGATGACCTGCTTGTCAGTTTTGATGTGGTTTCCTTATTCACCAAAGTTCCTGTACCTGACACCATCGCAATCATTGAAGACTTGGTTCATCAAGGACTGAATGCTGGGGTACCCCCCCTGGTGAGACACTGCTTAACCAATACATACTTCACCTGGAATGGAACTTTCTAAAAGCACACTGAGGGAACCCCAATGGGCTCCCCCCTATCTCCGGTTGTAGCCAACATCTTCATGGAGAAATTTGAGACTGACGCCATCCAGACTGCCACTCTACGCTCGACCTTATGGAAGAGGTACGTAGACGACACTTTTGTCATCTGGCCACATGGCCGACCTGCTCTAGACCAATTTCTCGACCACATCAATTCCATACACCCAGCCATCAGATTCACCATGGAAGTCGAAAAAGATGGCAAGCTACCCTTTTTGGATGTCCTAATTAAAAGGAGACCTGATGGTTCAATGAGCCACTCTGTCTACAGGAAAGCCACCCATACGGATGCTTACCTAAAACCGGATTCCCACCACCATCCATCCCAGAAGAATTCCCTCATCAAGACTCTATACCATAGAGCCCAATGCATCTCCGACCAGGAACACATTGCCAGTGAACTCAAACACGTACGCCAAGCTTTTAAGGCTAATGGTTACTCCGACTACACAATCCGCAAAGCCATCACTCCAACCATCAAGAAGGATCCTGTTGAGGAGCCTTTCAAGACCATCACCTTACCCTACATTGCTGGGGTCACAAAAAAGATCTCCAAAATCCTGATTAAACACAAGATCCAGGTCCGATTCAACACAGTACATAAAATCCGTGATCTGGTCCCGTCTGTAAAAGTTGTGGTTCCAGACATACAGTACCCTGGCGTCTACAAACTAAGTTGCCTCTGTGGTAGCAGTTACATTGGAGAAACCAAACGACATGTCTCGGACTGCATCCGTGAACATAAAGCAGACCTGAAACACGGTAGGACAAACACCTCAGCCGTGGCAGACCACTGTTACAACTCAGTGGGCTCACATGACATTGACTTCTCCAAGACAGAGGTTCTCTGCAAGCCATCTGGCTATCATGAGAGATTCGTTCATGAGGCGATCCACATATACAAACACAGAGACAATTTCAACCGAGAAGATGGATTCTGGCTTAGCAATCATTGGAAGGACGTAATAAACCATTTCGGATCTTAACTGATTGTGTTCACGTTTACGGTGACTTTCAGACCGCGTTCCACTCACTGGCATTGTATTCTCCGCAGGGAATGGATTCTTTGCTCCGCTGCAAGTTTCCCCCCCACGACTCACCCATTGACACGACGGTCAATGGTACAGTGTATAATAACAAATAGTATAACATTTATATGCTTAATACAATGTACAAAGTAATATAAAGTATCGTAATTGTATAGTAAACATATAGCAGTGTGATACACATTAGGGTGGGTAGAATAATACATAGTGTTATATTAAAATGTATATGGTATAGGGTGGTTTATAGCAATACAGTATATAATTTAATGTTGGGTTTGTCTATGGCAGTATATAGTACGGTGTAGACTCGTGTGATGTAAGAGAACAAAGTTTAGATGGAAGCATATTATATTATTTTTACGACGTAGAATTGTAATGTATTACTTACTGTCAGTAACTCAGCTTATTCTTAAGTCTTAAAGTCTTAGTCACTTTATTGTCAAGTGTGTTACATGCATAACATACAACACAGATGAAATTACAGTCCTCTCTCTTGATCCCACGGTGCAACCAAGCAATTAAAAAATTAATCACAATTAACAGACATAAATAAACAATAAACAATCGGCGATCAACACAAGATAAATAATCAAAAATGTAATAAACTTAAAATAAACAACAGTCAAGAATTTTTAAAATGTAAAATATTATTTAAATAAAGTATTTAAAGAAATAAGATATTTAAACCAGTGTGGTAGTGCGATGTAGTGCAATGTGCAGTCCAGAGATCAGGATGTACGAGTGAATGTGTTTGTGGGGGATGGGGTCAGGGGGCAAAGGGGGGTGGGTGGGCAGAGGAGGGGAGTGATGGTAGAGCAGGGAGGGAGTTGAGTCTCCTGACAGCCTGGTGAAAGAAACTGTCTTTGAGCCTGCTGGTCCTGGCTGGAAGACTCCGCAGTCTCCTCCCTGACGGCAGCAGGCTGAAGAGGCTGTGAGATGGGTGGGTGGGATCACCTGCAATCTTGATTGCTTTGCTGGTGATGCGGATGTTATAAATGTCCAGAAGAGGGGGGAGAGAGACACCAATGATCCTCTCAGCTGCTCTCACTATGCGCTGCAGTCTTGCGGCAGGACACGGTGCAGGTGCCGTACCACACGGTGATGCAGCTCGTCAAGATGCTCTCAACCGTGCCTCTGTAGAACGTCTGCATGATGGGGGGCGGGGCTCCTGCTCTTCTCAGTTTGCGGAGAAAATACAGGCGCTGTTGGGCTTTTTTGGCCAGTGATGCAGTGTTGTGACTCCACGACAGGTCTTCAGAGATGTGCACACCCAGGAACTTGGTGCATCTCACCCTCTCCACTGCAGCACCGTTGATGGTTAGCGGAGTATGCTGGGTGTGCACTCTCCTGAAGTCCACGACAATCTCCTTCGTCTTCTCAACATTCAGGTCCAGATTGTTGTCCTTGCACCACGTGGCCAGCCTGCTCACCTCACTCCTGTATTTTGTCTCATCACCGTTTTTGATGGCACCCACCACAGTTGTGTCATCCGCAAACTTAATGAAGAGGTTGGAGCTGAATGATGATGTGCAGTCGTGGGTCAGCAAAGTGAAGAGGAGGGGACTCAGCACACATCCTTGGGGGACCCCTGTGTTCAGTGTGATGGTGCTGGAGGTGTTGCTGCCAACTCGAACTGCCTGTGGTCTCCCTATCAGGAAGTCCAATAGCCAGTTGCACAGGGAGGTGTTGAGCCCCAGGTGGTCTAGTTTGTTGATGAGCTGCTGGGGAATGATTGTGTTGAATGCTGAGCTAAAGTCGATGAACAGCATTCTGACGTAGGAGTCTTTAGTCTCCAGATGGGTGAGAGCTGAGTGGAGGGTAGCGGAGATGGCGTCATCGGTTGAGCGGTTAGACCGATACGCAAACTGGAAAGGGTCCAGGGCGGGGGGAAAGACAGACTTGATGTGTTGTAGGACTAGCCGCTCGAAGCACTTCATAAGGATGGGAGTGAGTGCGACCGGGCGGTTGTCATTGTGGCAGGAGGGAGATGACTTCTTCGGGACCGGGATGATGGTGGTAGCTTTGAGGCACGTGGGTACAACAGCCTGTCTCAGCGAGGTGTTAAAGATGTCGGTGAAGACATCTGTGAGCTCCTCCGCACAGTCTCTCAGGACACGACCCGGAATGTTGTCAGGGCCCTGGGCTTTCCTTGGGTTCGTCCTTCTGAGGGATCTCCTCACGCTATCTGGGGATAGCGTCAGCACCTGATCACCGGGAGGTGGTGGAGTCTTCTGTGCTGGGGTGCTGTTGTCTGCCTCAAAGCGAGCGAAGAAGTCCTTCAGCTGCTTCAGCAGAGAGGTGGAGCTGTCACAGGTCTGCGGAGAGGGTTTATAGTCCGTGATGGTCTGCATCCCTCGCCACAGGTTCCTGGTGTCTCTGCTGTCATTGAAGCGGTCGGCGATCCTCCTGGAGTACTGCCTCTTGGCCAATCTGATGCCTCGCGACAGGTTGGCCCTGGCTGTCTTCAGGCCCATCTCCTCGCCAGCTTTGAAGGCGGTGTTCCGAGCCCTCAGGAGCCTGTGGACTTCCCCTGTCAGCCATGGCTTCTGGTTGGCCCGAATGGAGATGGTTCTGGTGACCGTGACATCCTCCATGCACTTCCTCATGTAGGAAGTGACGGTCTCCGTGTACTCCTGGAGGTCTACGGTGTTGTTGTAGGTGGCTGCCTTTCTGAACATGTTCCAGTCGGTGGTGGAGAAGCAGTCCTGGAGTGCCTCTGAAGACCCCTCAGGCCACACGCATATCTGCTTTATAACTGGTTTGGTGACTTTAACCAGCGGCCTGTACGCTGACGTTAGCAGAACAGTGGTGTGATCTGAGGCCCCAAGGTGGGGGAGGGGACGGGCTTTGTAGGCACCTTTGTGTGTAGTGTAGACATTGTCCAGGATATTGTTTCCTCGTGTGGGAAAGTTGATGTGTCCCTGGAGTTGTGGAAACACGATCTTGGGGTTGGCATGGTTGAAATCCCCAGCCAGAATGAGGAAGGCATCTGGGTCGGCTGTCTGCTGGTCACCGATGTGCTGATGGAGTTCATACAGTGCCTCGTTCCTGTTGTTTTCGGAGCCAGGGGGGATGTATAGTGCCACCAGCAATATGGCACTAAATTCCCTCGGCAGGTAGAATGGCCGGCATTTAATTACCATAAACTCCACCGATGATGAGCAGTGTTGGCAGACCACAACAGCGTCGCGGCACCAGGCATCGGTGATGTAAACACAGAGTCCCCCGCCGCGAGTCTTCCCCCCCTCGACGAGCGCTCTGTCCGCCCGGTAACATGTTAGCCCGGCTAGCTGAATGGCATGGTCCGGGACGCTGTCGTTAAGCCATGTCTCCACAAACACAAGGACACAGCACTCACTCACAGTCCTGGAAGTTGTACGAAGAAGGCGGATATAGTCCAGTTTGTTTTCCAGCGAGCGTACGTTGGCCAGTGTGATGGTAGGGATAGCCGGCCGGTGAGGGCTAGCCGCTCGCCTAGCCTCGATACCTCCGCGCTTTCCCCTCTTCTGCTTCCTCATACACCGCCTGTGGCGCTTCCACTGTAGGCTGGTTGCAGTAGTAGGGGTCGGTGGTAGAGCAGGCCTCTGGAGCAGACCGCAGTCGCGTAGCTCTTCCGCATCTGCTGGGTTTATATCCATGAGTGTGGTTCTGCCGATGGCGAGCAGAAATTCGCGAGAGTATGTGCGCCTTACGTTTAATCGACGTGATGATGACGAACAAATGCACGTAGATGGATAACACAAAAAACATAAAAACACCGATCTGATGGGAGAGAGAGGAGCCGCTGCATGTATACGCGCCGCCATCTAGTGTAGAGTATAGTAAGTATACTGATGATGCTATGTAGTTTATACTTTAGTTGTTTATGTAGTTTATACTTTAGTTTTTTACGTGGTTGTTTAGCAACTGCAGCTACATACTATTAACATTCCTTTCCTTTGTTAATGCTACCCCCCTTCCCCCTCCCTTTGATGCTGCTAATCCTGCATAATGCACGGGCATAATATTAATTTGAAACCCCCCCGCCCAACTCCTACGCATTTTCCATATGCTAAATTCCTCTTGATATGCAAATTATTTTGTCTAGGTGCTCTTCTTCTCACCTCCCCCCCTCCAACCCAGCTTAAATATACGCTCCAAGCTTGGTGGTGTTTCATTCTTCACCTGAGGACGGCTGCTTGCGTTGTGGCCGAAACGTCGTGAGAATTATTTTATTATGTTTTATTTTTATTATTTTATTACTTCCCTTCTACGTGACTTTACCGAAAGAACCAAGAAGATGAATCCCTGCAGTCACGAAAGCTTTACATCGAAACACAAAATGTGTGTGTTAGACACAGGGTCTCTGTGCGTTAGACACTGGCTGTAAGTAAGACACTGGCTATCTGAGACACTGGCTGTGTGTGAGACACTGGCTGTGTGAGACACGGGCTGTGTGTGAGACACGGGCTGTGTGTGAGACACGGGCTGTGTGTGAGACACTGACTGTGTGTGAGACACTGACTGTGCGTGAGACACTTACTGTGAATGAGACACGGGCTGTGCGTGAGACACTGGCTGTGCGTCAGACACCGACTGTGAGTGAGACACGGGCTGTGAGTGAGACACTGACTGTACGTGAGATACTGACTGTGAGTGAGACACGGGCTGTGAGTGAGACACTGGCTGTGTGTGAGACACTGGCTGTGTGTGAGACACTGACTGTGTGTGAGACACGGGCTGTGTGTGAGACACGGGCTGTGCGTGAGACACTGACTGTGTGTGAGACACCTGCTGTGTGTGAGACACGGGCTGTGTGTGAGACATGGGCTGTGCGTGAGACACGGGCTGTGTGTGAGACACTGGCTGTGTGTGAGACACGGGCTGTGTGTGAGACACGGGCTGTGTGTGAGACACGGGCTGTGTGTGAGACACTGACTGTGTGTGAGACACTAACTGTGCGTGAGACACGGGCTGTGTGTGAGACACGGGCTGTGTGTGAGACACAGACTGTGTGTGAGACACTGACTGTGTATGAGACACGGGTTGTGTGTGAGACATGGGCTGTGTGTGAGACACTGGCTGTGTGTGAGACACGGGCTGTGTGTGAGACACGGGCTGTGTGTGAGACACGGGCTGTGTGTGAGACACTGACTGTGTGTGAGACACTGACTGTGCGTGAGACACTGGCTGTGTGTGAGACACGGGCTGTGTATGAGACACGGGCTGTGTGTGAGACACGGGCTGTGTGTGAGACACAGACTGTGTGTGAGACACTGACTGTGTATGAGACACGGGTTGTGTGTGCTATGGATGCTGAGTGTTCCAATGCTGTGGTTATACGAGGTTGTATGTGATGCTGTTGGTTGTCCCAGGAGAGAGATCCCAAAGGAATCTGCACCCCCACCTCCCACTTCACTGGACGCCACCACGAGCCTCTCCCTTGAAAGGGTCGTGAACAGATTCCTGCATTTCGCTTGTGAGTTCCTCTGTCTTGCACTCACGTGTCCCGCTCTGTTACACTGCACTTCTGTGGTCCCCACTTTCATCAATATTTCATTATGTTTAACCAGGTAATTAACCCACTGAACCATGTCGCTCTTTTCTCGGAAGCGACCTATTACAAATGACAGCTCTGCGAATTGGCTCATCACGTGGATATTTATGGCAGCAGCCAAATCCTCTGAAAGCAAATTGATTCTAAACGTGGAGGAAAAAACGTGAGGAGCCAGGGAGAAATCCACGCCACCACGGGGAGAGAGACGCAGACTCTGAAAGAGAGCGACATGAATCGGTGGGATCTACCTGGTGAAATAAAATTTGTTTAACAGTTTCAAATATTCTACTAAAGCATACTGCTGGGTACTGGGGCAAGTGCTGTTAGCGATCAGCAGCACCTATGAAGGCCGGCACGGCACACGAGGGGGTGGGTGGCCAGCCCCACGCCCGGCCGTCTTTGTTTCCCTCGTTTCGAATGTTTACACATCACACCGGCAGAGGGCAGTGCAGCGTGAACCATTGTTGTACTGTACCTCTACGCTTCTACGTTCACAATCCCCACCATCGAGCATTGATGAGAGCGGTGAAGTATGGTCAAATAACCCCCCCCCCCCAGGACGCGCACGGCATGGGGAGGCGCTCACCCAGCAGTGGAGTGACACAAAATGTCTGTGTGTGGGTGTGAGAGAGTGCGACGCTGTGACACACAATGTGTGTGTGTGTGGATGTGAGATTGTGCGAGGCTGTGACACACACTGTCTGTGTTTGGATGTGAGAGTGTGCGAGGCTGTGACACACAATATATGTGTGTGGGTGTGAGAGTGTGCGAGGCTGTGACACACAATGTGTGTGTGTGGATGTTAGAGTGTGCAAGGATGTGACACACAATGTATGTGCGTGGATGTGAGAGTGTACGAGGCTGTAACACACAATGTATGTGTGTGGCTGTGAGAGTGTGCGAGGCTGTGACACACAATGTGTGTGTGTGGATGTGAGAGTGTGCGAGGCTGTGACACAATGTCTGTGCGTGGATGTGAGAGTGTGCGAGGCTGTGACACACAATGTCTGTGTGTGGGTGTGAGAGTGTGCGAGGCTGTGACACACAATGTCTGTGTTTGGATGTAAGAGTGTGTGAGGCTGTGACACACAATGTCTGTGTGTGGCTGTGAGAGTGTGCGAGGCTGTGACACACAATGTCTGTGCGTGGATGTGAGAGTGTGCGAGGCTGTGACACACAATGTCTGTGCGTGGGTGTGAGAGTGTGCGAGGCTGTGACACACAATGTCTGTGTTTGGATGTGAGAGTGTGCGAGGCTGTGACACACAATGTGTGTGTGGATGTGAGAGTGTGCCAGGCTGTGACACACAATGTCTGTGTGTGGATGTGAGAGTGTGCGAGGCTGTGGTGGCTGTGGTACAGGCGTGGTGTTTGTAGAGAGACGCTGTGAGTGTGGCGTCAACATCGTGGTGCTGGCATCATCACGACTGTTCACTGCCACTGCACACACACACATGGTCATGTTAGTGTAGTACTTTTATAAGTTATTATTTATTATTCACTAATTATTATTATTCACGAGTGATTAACAGTATATGTATACATAGATAAGAGCAAATATTAGTATGTGTACACTAATACTAACGAATATTAGTGAGTGTACACTAATACTAACGAATATTAGTATGTGTACACTAATACTAACGAATATTAGTGAGTGTACACTAATACTAACGAATATTAGTGTGTGTACACTGATAATAACTATTATTAGTATGTGTAGACTAATACTAACGAATATTAGTGAGTGTACACTAATACTAACGAATATTAGTGTGTGTACACTAATACTAACGAATATTAGTGAGTGTACATTGATAATAACTAATATTAGTATGTGTACACTAATACTAACGAATATTAGTATATGTACACTAATACTAACGAATATTAGTATGTGTACACTAATACTAACGAATATTAGTGAGTGTACACTAATAAAAACTAATATTAGTATGTGTACACTAATACTAACGAATATAGTTACGTACAATAATACTAACGAATATTAGTATATGTACACTAATACTAACGAATATTAGTGAGTGTACACTAATACTAACGAATATTAGTGTGTGTACACTAATACTAACGAATATTAGTGAGTGTACACTGATAATAACTAATATTAGTATGTGTACACTAATACTAACGAATATTAGTATATGTACACTAATACTAACGAATATTAGTATGTGTACACTAATACTAACGAATATTAGTGAGTGTACACTAATAAAAACTAATATTAGTATGTGTACACTAATACTAACGAATATAGTTACGTACAATAATACTAACGAATATTAGTATATGTACACTAATACTAACGAATTTTCATATTTGTACACTAATACTAACGAATATTAGTTAGTGTACACTAATACTAACTAATATTAGTATATGTACACAAATGGTAACGAATATTAGTATATGTATACTAATACTAACTAATATTAGTATGTGTGCACTATTACTAACAGATGGACGCTCACCGACTCTGGACACAAACTCAGCCTACGACCTCCTCCAGATTTCCTCAGATCTCAGGACGGCGACGCTGAGCGATGTCTCCCAGGGTCGCCCCCATCACCCACACCGCTTTGATTTCTGGCGACAAGCCCTGTGCTCTGAGAGCTTCTCGTCGGGTCAGCACTACTGGGATGTGGACTTGGGGAGCGCGAGGTGGTGTGGGGTTGGAGTCGCGTACGGGACGATCCCACGGAGAGGGAGTGGTGCTGAGTGCGCCCTGGGAGGTAGTGACGTCTTCTGGTGTCTACAGAAACTTGGCGACAGCTTCACAGTGTGGCATGGCGGGGTAGAGACCTCACTGTCGGTGCCGGAGCCTCCGCGGAGAGTCGGGGTTCACATGGACTGGGACGCGGGGCTGCTGTCGTTTTACAGCGCCGACTCCATGGAAGTGTTGCACTCGTTTCACCAAACCTTCACTCAGCCTCTACACCCTGGGATGCTGGTGGGGTGGGATGATGGTGACTCAGTGAGGATTGTGGATCTGAGTGGTGCTTCCTGAGAGAGGTGAACGTGAACAGCGCAGAGGGCAGACGCCACCACGACGCACGGCGCTCGCCACCCTCGTCACCGTCACGCGCAGCGCCACGCCCGTGGCTGGCTGGTGGCTGTCAGTGGCTAGGGGCTGCGTGGCTCTCCATCACAACGGGGGAGCTGAGCAAAAACAATCCTCACAACCTTCATGGGGGCCTGGGGGGTGATAAAATAAATACCGCTCTGTGTGTGTGTGAAGCCAGCGTGGATGTATTTACCCTGCCAGAGGAGTGTGACTGTAGTGTATGGGTGCAGTTGAAGTATTTGAAATGACGGCAGGAACTTCTTGACGGGTAACACACTTTTATTAAATCTTGACGTGTCACAATACAACGTGTGGTCTCTCTTCTTCTCACTATACACTCCACTTAAATCGTGTAGACCCTATGCCTCTGGCTACACACACTTCCCTTAACTCGTGTAGACCCTATGCCTCTGGCTACACACACTTCCCTTAACTCGTGTAGACCCTATGCCTCTGGCTACACACACTGCATTCGCCTCTGGGTTACACAGAGTCCCGGTCCCGTTAGGACAGCGGGACTAGGTACCCTAGGGCTCTATCTCTTCATCCCCGTCTTCAGTCTTCGCTGGTTACATACTGCCCTTACGCCTGTGTGCATCCCCTTTTATAGCCCCTGCTCACGGGAGACGGAGCTGATGCGGACGTCGACGTGAGCATCGCTCCTTAGTTAACCAATCACGACGCGCTCTCTCTACGATCCGTTTTCCCCAGCGCGTGTTAACACTACTCCACCAATCACACCGCGCTGCCATTTGATCACTCCCTCTCAGCGCGTCACCGGCACACAGCCAATCAGTACCCCGTAACCCACGACCCCGCGCTGACCCCTGATCCTCCACCGTCAGCGCGCGTCACCACATATACAGCCAATCATTACGCGCTGGCACACGATGCCTACCCCAGCGCGTATCACCACTACATCACCCCCTCCCACATAGCTTGCAGCCGGCCCGGCTGTTAACCAACAACACAACCCAACGTCAACGCAGTAACAAAAAAACCCCACCCCCCAGTGTGCCCCGTAACGCAACAACAACAACACAACAGCAACACTTAAATAAGAAGCAATATACAGCCCGACGAACAACACAATAAAAGCGAACTCCAGAAAACGAACGCGCCAAGTGTCTCTGTGACTAAACGCAGTGACGAGGCACTCCGGCTGCCTCGACTCCTCACGTGGTAGGTCATAAAAAGTAGCGCGACCTAGCGCGAGTCCGTCTGGCCGGTCCGTCGTATGGGACGGGACGCTGGCGACCGTCCGGTGGCTCCGGCAGCTCTAGACGGCGCGGATCGGGCCTGGAAGGACCGGCCCAGCCGCGAAGATCCGGCCGCCGGTGGTCGGCAGCTGTCAGTTCCGAGACACCTGGGAGCGGATCAGGCGGAGACATGTGAGGATCAGGCAAAGACATTTCCCCCTTGGGGTCGTCGGTCACGTCACATGCTCGGCCCTCACGACACAAGGGGAGGCCATATGGAGGCGAGAACGGTTTCAGTCGGGAGGGGTGGACGTACCAACGGCGTTTTCCCCATTTTATCTGAACGCACTGGGGGCGTGCAACCCGCACGACCTCCACGGGTCCCCGCCACGGCTTCAACAATTTAGGCGACGTAGCCAAAGGTGCCTGAGGGCAATGCAGCCAGGCCCTGTCACCTGGTTCCCAGTTGTGCACCGACACCTTCCGTGCACGCAACCGCTCGTTTGCAATTTGGCGAGCCTGCGAATTAAGCCGTGCGGCCTCCCTTGCCTCCGTCAGCTTATGAATATTAAATTTAATATGCTCTGCCAATTTCGAATTAGTTCGTGGTGCGGGCAGGCCCAGCTGCGTTTCCATGGGCGGGTCGGCTTCCCGACCGTACATCAGATAGAACGGGGAAAACCCCGTAGCTGCATGGGGGGCCATTCTATACGCGGCGAGGACCCCAGGGACCTGCAGGTCCCAATCAACATGTGCCTCACACACCTGCTGGCACAGCATAGAAGTCAATGTCCTGTGGAGTCTCTCCACCATCCCGTCCGTCTGCGGGTGGTACGGGGAGGTACGCACCTTCTTAGTACCCAACAAGTCGCACACCTCTTGCAGTAATTTACTCGAAAAATTTTTCCCTTGGTGGGTCAGCAAGCGTTCGGGAGCCCCCTTGTCCAGGACGTAGCCCTGGACAAAGGCGTCCGTCACAGCCGCCGCCGACTGGTTGGCGAGTGGCCACGCCATAGGCCACCGGGTAAAATATTCGACCCCCACCAACAGGTACTTATTACCCCTAGGCGTGACTGGAAAAGGCCCCAGAATATCGAGCGCAACGAGCTCGTTGGTGCGCGAGACCTGAATAGATTGCAGCGGTGGATTAGCTGCCACGGGCGGTGGTTTCCGTCTGGCGCACTCAACACAACCCTTCAGAATATTCACCACGTCACTCCCCATTCCCGGCCAATAATAGTCACGCTGAAGCAGGGCAAGCGTTTTGTTAACTCCCAAATGCAAGAGGCGTTCGTGTGCGGCCAAGACAACTTTCCCCTTCACAGCAGAAGGCACCACAATCGCGTGCCGCCGGGACAAACTGTCCCATCTCATTAACAGACCTTGCTTAAGTACGTAGGAGCCAGTTCGTTCATGGTCACCTTCGGAACCCCCCGTCCTTCGGCGCAATGCTAGCAGAGAGCTGTCCGCCATTTGGAGACGGCCCCACTCAATCAGCGACAGTGAGAGCAGCGAGTCCTGACCCCCTGGGGTAGCGGGACCATCCCCAATTGGTGTGCCCGCGGTCGCAACCAATGCCTCCTCGCCTTCCGTAACTGGCGGTCTACAGCGCGCCGATCCCGATAAGCACGCACATTTGTGACAAGGCAACAATCGCGACAGAGCATCGGCATTTGTGTGTCGCGCGCACAGCGAATCGACCCATTCGAGGTCCTCCTTCGGATTAACGTTTTGCGTGGGGCTCGGATCAGCCTGCGCAACCAGCCGCTCTTCCGTAGGGACCCGTGCCGCGTGAGCTAGCACGGTGCCCTGCTGAATGACGGCCGGCCGCGACCCAGCGTTTAAACCCATGACAAACGGATCCCTGTCAGCCCCAACCAAAGTGTGAGCCACCGACAAATCGAGACCTCCAACAGCCCTATTAGAAGGACCCAAAAGCGTGCCTTGATCCGAGGTCTCCCTCACCCATGGTTTCCGCAACCGGAGGGGAATTAACATTTGTGAACCCTGGGGCACGTGCATGGTCTGTGTCACTAACGCTTGTATCGTAGCGCACGCCGTCCGAATTTCAGTAGGGTTCGTCAAAAATGAAATACGGCGACCCGATGGTAGTTCAATGCAACGCTGATCAATGAGAATTTTGATGGGCATTTTTGCCAAAAAATCAGTGCCCAATAGACAAGGAACCGCCAGGGAGGACGAAACGAAAACGGGTCCCGACAATTTGATATCTCCAATGCAAATGGACGCCCTAATCTGACCGATAATGCCCAACGATCCCCCATTAGCGGCGTAAAATGGCACATCCACTGGAAGCAGCGGACGACATTGTACAGGGAGAATGTTGTAAATGAGATCCGATATAATAGTCGCCGATGCCCCCGTGTCCACTAACACCCTGACCTCGACCCCATCAATAGATCCCGTAACGATGGATGAACCCGCTCTGGCAGCCACTATTCTGTGCCCCAACTCCGACCATTTAATGTCTCCCCGGTCCCGGCCGAACCCCCCTCGCCGAACCGAATCCCCGAACCCTAACCGGCTCTCCTCCGCCGCAACGCGACGGACCATGCGTGTCGAGTATGCGGGCCGAGCATGTGAGGTGCCGCGACTCGCCGGGGTTTGTAGGGATGACTTGGGGCCTTGTTCGTCGTCCAGCCGAGGTCCCATGGCGCGCTGACGTGGGGCGCGGCAGCCGGACGCCACGTGGCCCCGGAGGCCGCAGTTATAGCACGTGATGAGGGTCGTCGGAGATCTCGGTTGCTCCAGCTTTCGGGCCGATCGCAGAGGCGAACGACCCCCCGACCTCCAGTCCCCCGGTCGCCCCGCGGTGAACGCCTCCTCTCGTGGGCTGACGACTTGGGGTTCGGTGACTACCGGGCCCGGAGCTGAGGCCACGGCAGCGTTGCAGACGACCCCCTGTTTACGTTGAAGGACCTCGTGCGCTTGTATACTTGTGGCGACCCGCAAGGAAGAAATATCGATCTCGTCGGCCATGTTGATGGGGACCCCCAGGTCCTGCGCCAACTTGAGCAGTTGCTCCAAAACCATCGCATCTTTGCCCTCCTCGTCCATACGAGGGAACGCGGCGTCGCCGAGAGCCAGCAACGCCGTGCGATATGCAAGCACGGTCTCCGTGGCCGCCTTCCGCCTTGCATAAAAATGATGGCGACACGCCGAGGGAGGACCGTAGACCTTTGCCATGAGAGCCAGCGCATCCTTGAGCGTGGAGCGGTCCGACCTGCGTGCGGACGTGAAGGCCGCGAGCGCGTTGTCGTCCAGCATGGCAGGCAGTGCCCGCAGCGCCATAGCGTCGGACCAGGCGGACATCTCCTGATGTGCCAAAAACCTGCGCTGAAATTGGCCCCAGTCCCCGCCTTCCGCCTTGAAGGTAGACAATGTGGGAAGGCGTTGTTGAAAGATGAAGTCGTCCTCCGCCTCGTGGTTCCTCACCGCCCCCCCGTCGGTGTGTAAGATGGTGGCCCCAGTGGCGGGTGTCTGATGGCGGTCCGCAGCGCGCGTTGGTGACGTAAGCGGGCGCGCTTGGAGAACCGCTGCCACGTGGTGATGGCCGTTCCCGCCAAAAGTCGGCGCAGATGAAATGGCGGGAATCGTCAAGTCATTTTGGCGGGAATCTGCGGGGCGACCCTGTAGAATGTCCGCCGCCGTCCCCGCTCCTCCAGACGAGCTGATCTCCGCCAGGATGGACGCGGCGGCGAGCAGCAGCTCCGCCAGACGGGAGTGCGCCTCGCGGAGCACGGCATCGGTCCCCCGTCGCTCGTCCTGCGCCGTCGGCGGATCCTGCAGCGTGGGCAATTCTTCGTCCTCACCCCCCGATGCCAGCTGGCCCGAGTCGTCAAGGTTGTCCCCGCGGTCACTCCCGTGGGTCCGACGGGTCTTCCTTGTATCCATGCTTGGAAGA